TAAAGGGGAGTAGTTAATCTTACAGTCCAGAAACAGAGAACCCTAGGACCATCAAGGGAGAAGACCACAAGCAGAATGTGAAACCTTATCCAGAGAAGCAGTGACACCAGAGATGGAGGCAGAGATGGGAACGTGGAGAGAGGAAGCAGCTGAGGACTCTAGATTCATGGGAAAAGAGGGACTGAGAGATGGCAGCCAGGAGGCAGACTTGCAGAATGCGCCCTTTGGTGGTGTTTATTATATATGCCAGAATGTTTGAAAAAGAAAAAAAAAAGAACTATAGTGAATTGAGAGAAATACTGTTAAGTGATGGTACATGGAGGGGGATTATAACCATTGCAATGAAACAAGGTGTATGGATTGTTGAATGTAAAACTGATGATCTGCCCTATAAACGTTCACTCAATCCATAGTTAAAAACAAAACAAAACAAAAAAAACCCCCACCACTTTAGTGTTTAAAAGAAGAAAAGCTACCTTACTAAGAATCAGAAAACTATTAGAAAAGGAGAAGGCAATCAACAATGTCCCTACACTCTCCTTAAGGTCTAATTTCCCTAATACTATGTCCCACTATTATTACATTAATCTTCTATGATGATTCTCTTCCCTTCATATAATATTTACTCAGCGTGATTTTATCACCCACACCCCGATGTTATAAAATAACAATCGGCTATCATCTATTGTGTTCTGGGGTTAATCTAAAGAGAAAAACTAATACAACCTTCCTCCATTACAAATCAAAGAGTTTACATACACTAATTGTGAACTGTGGGTTAATACACTGGACTGCAAAGTCAGTTTGAACGGCAAGGTCATCAGTTCAAGTTTATCAACCACTCCTCAGAAACCCTACACAGGGTCGGTATGGGTTGGAACTGACTCAATGGCACTTAACAAAAACAAACAAGCTAACAATCCTATGAAATAGACTATTTGAACTTCATTTTATTAATGAGAAAACCAACACTAAAAAGATTCAATGAACTGTCTAAAGTTGCACGGTTAAGTGGTCAAGTTGAAATTAAATATAGGCCTTTAGAGTCTAAAGATTCTGCTCTTTGCATTCTGATATGCTGCATTCCAATCTGGCAAAACATCAGTTTAATTTAATATCTGTTCATTTTTTAAAATAATATTTTACTTTTGATCAAGTCAGAACATTTTAGAAACAGAGGGAAACTCTCCAACTTTTATATATTTTTTTTGTTTCCTAGGAAGTAGCTTAGGGGGAAAAAGTTAAATGTTAAGGAAATCTATTTCCTTTGTTTGTATACTGTTTATAGTTAATCACTAGATCCTCATTCACCTTTGCTTTGTGATGTGATTGGTATGTCCTACTCCAAAGAACCTAAACCTAAAAATAACTTTTGGGGCCCTTCTTGATTGGAACAAAACTTGAGTTTTGGGGTTGTCTACAGGAATGTCCTGGTGTGGCACTGTAGGATGACTACTGGGTTGCTAATCACAAGGTTGACAGTTCAATACCACCAGGAGCTTCTTGGAAACGCTATACAGGGTAATTATGAGTTGGAATCAACTTAACAACACTTAACATAAGCAACAGGAATATAGACATCCTAGGATTAACTCCAGCAGGATGACCATTCTGAGAGGATGCTTCAAATTTCTTAATCTACAAATGCTTCCAGGGATGGGGACCAAGATTCCTAGATCTACTTTCAAGTTTTAGATTTAATTTCTCTAATTAGAGAAAGTTCCTTAGCTATTGACAAAAAGTATTTCAGCATTTAGTTAAGCATTGTTGTTGTTAAGTGCCATTGAATCAGTTTTGCCTCAAAAACCCTGTACAGGGTTTCTGAGGCTGTAAATCTTTGTGAGAGCAGAAAGCCTCATCTAGTTAAATATTGGGTTTAACTTATTCTTCCATAGATCTGGTCAGTGGTCAAGAAAGGAGAGACTGATGGGGGATTTCTGGGAAATGGTTCTTTATTCTTAACAAAATTGGAAAAGAGAGAGAAAGAGAGAAAGGGAATGTCTCTTCTCAGTTGAAAACATTCTAAATGATTGTTGTTGTTATCTGCCGTCAAGTCGGTTCCGAATCATAGCGACCCTGTATAAGGTTTCCAGGGAATAGCTGGTGGATTTGAACTGCCAACCTTGAGGTTAGCAGTCCAGTGCTTATCCTACAGCACAACACCAGGATCTTTAGGCAGAGATAAAGGCAAATGTATTTCAAAACATAATTGATAATGTTGTACCATTGTTGTTGTTGTTATGTGCCGTCGAGTCGGTTCCGACCCATAGCGACCCTGTACAGGGTTTCCAAGGGTGTAAATCTTTACGAGAGTAGAAAGCCTCATCTTTCTCCCGCGGAGCGGCTGGTAGTTTCAAACCGCTGACCTTAAGGTTCGCAGCCCGATTCGTAACCACTACGCTACCAGAGCTCATAGATGGTGGTTATTGTTATTAAGTGCTGTTGAGTCCTTTCCGACTCCTAGTGACCCTGTATGGAGCTTCCAAGGTGCAGCTGGTGATTCTGAACTGCTGACCTTGAAGTTCAAACCAACCTTAAGGTTGAGTGCTTATCCTACGACATCACACCACAAGTGGTACAACATTACAAATTGTTTGGGGCATTTTCACCTTTATCTCTGCCTAAAGGCATTCACCTCTTTCAATTAGTTGTTTCTTTGTACCATCATTGGCGTTGTCCTTATAAACTTCAAATCTGATCATGTTACCATTCTGATTAAATCTTTCAAGGGTCACTTTCAGCTTTCTTGGCCTGGGACAAAAGACCTTTCTTATTGGGTCCCCAGATCAGGTCCCACAAGCATTGTCATCTTTGACCATGATATGTTCTCTTTCTCCTATGCTTAACAAATGTTGTTCCTGCTGCCTGGAATGTCCTTCCCTATTTGATGGATCACTCTCAACTCAGTTTTCAAGACCACCAAGCTCTTTTGGTGAGTACCTCAATCCCACAGTGTTGCAAGAGGTTCCCAACACACTGTCTAGACTGCCTGTGAAGCACATCCACCACTACACTGTAATTGGTAGATTACTTGTGTCCTGATTAAAAGGTCTCTGAGTAAAAGACGTGTCTTACTCATCTCAATATTTCCAATGCTGCTTGTTTTTGTTAAGTGCCGTTGAGTTTGTTCTGATCCTATGCAACAGAATGACTCTATATGACAGTGTAGAAATGCCCCATAGGGTTTCCAAGGCTATAATCTTCATGGAGTCCTGGTGTGGCACTGCAGGATAATGCACTGGACTGTAAGGTTGGTTTGAATTGTAAGGTCGGTGGTTGAAATTTACCAGCTGCCCTTCAGACACCTTAGACAGGGTTGCTATGGTTCAGAAGCAACTCGAGGGCACATGACAACACATTTTTATTGAAGCAGACTACCATATCTTTTTCCCAGAGGGTGACTGTTTGGTTTGAACCTTTTGGTTAACAGTTAAGTGCTTAACCACTGTACCACTAGGGGTCCTTCCTAGTACATTACTTGCACAAAACAAGCAAAGAATAAATGCTTATTAATGAACAAAAATAATGCAGTAACCTAGTTGGTTTCATGAAAGCAACTGTGTTTTCTCTTTGGTTAACATTTCATGGTATTAGCATCTTGAGTAGGCAAATGAGGAAAAGAGAGAGGAAGGAAAACCTATAACTCTGTAATATCTGCTGTCCAAATGTTGGAGAAGGATAAGGCGAACTTAATGAAAAGTAGTATTTCTTTTATTTATTGTATACCTGATCCATATGATAACTTATTCAACAAATACATACTCAGTGTGCCAAATCATTGTTCTAAGAGTTTGAGATATATTAGTCAACAAAAGGGTATCTACCTTTGGAAATCATTAGCACTACTAGTAAACTTGAATCAATCATTTCCCCTTTCTACATCTTAGTCCTGCATTTGTGCAGGCAGGGGAAACACTGTAATGGAAAGCTTGCAGACTCTCAGATGAAAGTCATTAGTAAACACATGGGTTTATTACATAAGCAGTGCCACTTCTTTCTAGAACCAAGGACAGTATAGAGGAGGAGGTCGCTGTTTAATGCTTCTTGACCTTGTTCTTAGCAATACACACCAAATAGGCACCACCTTCATGGTTTTAGAAGAGAGTTTTATGCAGCATCCTGAGTCTGCAGTTTCCTTCCTCACTGCCCACTACAGGGACTGTAAGCCCTGTTTACAGGCACCAAATTAGTGCTTCCCTTCTCTGGTTTTCTACATGGGGAGGTTCCCCACAGACACAGTAATACAGAGGTAGAGTCTGATCTGGACACAGAGACAACTTCCTACAGAAACGGGACCTATTTGGAAGGGACCAAGGGAAGTGTTTATGTTTAGTTCTTAAAACCTCAGCATTCACTGAAGTGAGAGGTAGGCTGTAAATAAAAGCCAAACTGATTTTCTTCTGAGTAAACACATTGCCATATAAAAACCCACTCAGTGCTCTGTGGGAAATGTTTTTATTTTGTAAATACTCTGTGGCTCTGAGGTGACAGTATGATTACATTTCTGACAACATCACTGGTACAATTTCCAGTCTCACCAGGGAGAACAATGTGAGGATTTTCCTCCTAGAAACAATGGCAAACTCACTGCTCATGAGGATTCACTTGGTTTAAGCACGATTCAATTTAAGTAAGAAACAGAAGATGGCACAGCAAATACTGAACGCCTGGAAATCCACAACATTATGGAAGAGAGAAACTGAACTGCAAAAATAAGAACTCTGTAACCTCCACACAATTTTTACAAGTTCCAATGGCTCACTGTCAGTCACAACTGGGGAAAGGTTAGAGGGACTGATAGGGTGAAAAGAAGCTGGAAGAGTACAGGATAAAGTAAGTACTAAGAGGAGCTAGTTATAATGGAAGAATGGAGGAGGGAGAGAGCTTCAGTGTAACTCTGGAGACTCTCCTGCCCCTTGGATACGTTTTTTATCCAAACTTATCCCACCTGTCCTCAACTTCCGTGGCGTCTGAGCCAAGATCTGTCTGCCGTTCAGCATCTAAAAGACGCTTTCGCAGGAGCAGGGCAGCGGCCGGGGGCGCGGCGGAGGTGGGCGCGTGCAGCCCTCTTCCAGCTGCTCCCGCCGAGCGTGGTGATAGTGAGGGTGAGGCCAGCGGTGGCGATGGAGCGCCTGGTGGCCATGGGTCACCTCATCGTCGCCCTCCGAGACTCCCCCTTGTGCGCAGCAGGCAGTGCATAGGCGCTTCCTCAAAATCCGGCCGTTGCCAGCCTGGAAAAAGAGGTAGACGAAGGGATTGAGCGCGTTGTTGGCCACTTCAACGACGTGCAACGCCGCTTCCAGGCCGTCGCCTTCCGCGTCGCCTGAGGGGCGCCACGACCATGCGGTTGCCAGCCGGGCGGCAAAGTAGGGCACTTCGCAGCCCACGAATAGCATCGCCAGCACTAGGCTCATCTTCAGGCTCTGCACCCTTGCACGGGGCAGTGCGTAGGGCACGGAGGCTCGGCCCGGGCTCGCGGACCAAGGCACTGTGGCCGCCGGGGCGCGGGGCCGGCGCTGCCACCAGGCGCAGAGCAGGTGACTGCAGGCGACGCCCATGACCACGACGGGCGCCCCAAAGCCCGCGACGGTCTCGTAGAGGGTGTAGACCTGCAAGTGCCAGCGCGGCACGTGTGCGAAGATGCTGCGGCAGCGACGCTCCCCTGGCCAGCTACGGGAGGCTGGCAGGTGCGACCGTGGCGGCAAGGGGGCGCCCCCGTGCACCACAAATGCCGGGGGCAGCGCGAGTAGTAGCGCCAGCAGCCAGCTCAGGACGGCGAGGGAGCGAGTGGGCAGCGGCTGGCCCTGCGGACGGCGGACGGCGCGCTGGCGTTCGAGGGCGATGAGTGCCACTAGGTGGGCCGAGGCGCCGCGGCCGGACGCTTGCAGCAGCTGTACGAAGCGGCACGCTGCGTCCCCCGCGGCTGGGCGCGACTCGCCCTGCAGTTCCCAGGCCAGCTGCGTGAGCGTCTTGCCCCCACACGCGTACAGGTCTGCCAGGGCCAGCTGCACCAGCAGGAAGTCCATTTTGCGACGCTTGGGCCCCGCCCAGAGCCCACCGCGGCCGCCGCACAAACGGCACAGCACCAAGGCGTTGCCGGCCACAGCCACCACTAGGATGACCCCCAGGAAGACCAGGTGGACGCGGCGGCTGGGCGGCCCGAGCTGCGACATCCCCGGGGCTGGACCTTCCTGCTCAGAAGTCAGGTTAAGACCCCAACCCAGCGAGTTGGGTGCGGAGAGGTTGGGTGCTGGTGGCACAATTGAGCTGAAGGGATTGTCCATCCTTAACCCAGAGGAAGAGGAGGTGGCACCGTGGAGGGCGGGCAGGGCACGCAACCAAAGTGATGGTGTGGCAGCGCGGGGCGCGACTCTGGTCTACAAGTTCCCAAAGTTAGTTGAAAAAGCTCACGCACAATAGGGGTGATCGATCCGGCGGATTTGCGCTTTGTTGTTTTTTGTAGGTTGTCCTAGTCATTTGCCACTCAAATGTGGGTTGTACATTCGAGGAGTACACATGATTCCTATTCTCCACCCTTTTCTCCGCTACCCCACCCCCCATTTCCTCGTATCCTCTTCCACATGCTGTCTGCGACCCCCCACGCTGTCTTTGAGGGAGTCGTGAACTTCTCGGTTTGGAGACCCTCTCTGTTTGCTATTTACAGGTAGAGCACACCTGGGCAGAGGTCCTTTTGTGCTTTTCTGAAGGGCAATGTTAACACCAAACCAACGTACCAGAGAGAAATCTCCTGAGAAATGATTTCATGGTTGCCAACAGAAAAAAAAAAAGAAAATGCTTTAGTTTTGATTTTTTTTTAAACAAACTGATTTGAAATGTCATGGATCTGCAGCTCATGAGAAAAACAAGAACGCAGGAAACAACCACATTTAAAGCAAAAGCAAAACCCAATTGACGAACCTTTAAAACGATATGTCTTCCTCTGGCCAACAATGAGAGCATGCTATTGCAAAGAACTAAAGTCAATGATGTTGCTTGGCAAATGGGAGTAGCAATGCTTTGCAGATTGTTTCAAATACTCATTACAAGAAGCAGCAGATCACAGCTGCTCTCTCAGTGATATAAAATTAATTTCATTGGTCTGAAGAGGGCATTAATAGGTTTTCTTCCTTTCCACCAATAATTTCATCCAATGAAAGATATGTCATCACGACTCTTCATTCTCCTGGTTCTGTTTTCCAGCAGATGGGAAGTTGCTAGGAGGGACTATGCCTCCAATAAGCCTAGAGAAAAGGTGACTAAGAAAGTGATAAGGCAGCCAATTTTTAAAAAAGAAATCCAAGACACAGGAAATGGTTTAAATTCTTATTTAGCCCTACCTCCTCACATTTTTTTTTTTTTTTTTTTTTAGTTTTACTGTTAGAAGCATCAATTTGTCTTTTCTGCACCCTCTCCATTAATCATAGTGGAAATACAATTTCCTGTAATTTGCTAGTCTGGGGATCATGGAGGTGTGGGAGCCTTCTGTGGTTCACATTTCCAGGCTGAGGAAACATTTTCAACTCTAAGATGCATGGAAGAGTTTGGATATGAATAGGTAACAGTCCTGCCAATTGCTGAAGGAGCCCCTTATCTTGAGTTCTGTGACCAGGAAATTTTGTCATTTTCATGATCATATCCCCAGTGCCTAGCAAAAAACAACAACAAAAAAAAACCCATTGTCAGCAAGCTGAAAATGCCCTCAAAGGGCAGAGTTGACCTTTCCTGTGGGGCTTACTATGGAGGCCAGGATGGCTAAGCTTTGTCTCTCATACTTTGGACATATTGTCCAGAGGAAATAGTCACTGGAGAAGGATCTCATGCTGGGTAAGGTGGAGGGTCAGAGAAAAAGAGGAAGAGCCCTAACGAGATGGATCAGCCAGGTGGCATCATTGATGGACTCAAGTGTGGCAGCGGTAGTGAGGTTGGCCCAAGATCGGACATTGTTTTGTTCTGCTGTGCATGGGGTCACTATGAGTCGGTTCCAACTCGATGGCACCTGACAACAAATGGGGCTTACTTGGCTGTCATTTTCACAGAAGCACATTGCCAGCCCTTTATCCTGAGGAGCCACTGGGTAAGTTTGAACTGCCAACTTTTTGATTAGCAGCTTAGCACTGAACTGTTGTGCCACCAGGGTGTGGGTCCTAGATGACTTTTTTTGGAAGGCCCTAAAGCGACTCCACAGCATGTAACAACAAAGCTGGACAGTGAATAAGTAAGACCCTAGAAGAACTGCTGCTTTTGAGTTATGGTGTTGGAGGAGAGTATTGAAAGTGCCAAGGTCTGCCAAAAGAACCAATAGATCCATTTTGTAAGAAGTACAGGCAGAGTGCTCCTTGGAAGCCAAGATGGCCAAACTTCATCTCTCATACTTTGGACATATTGTCAGGAGGGACCAGTCGCTGGAGGAGGATATCATGTTTGGTAAGGTGGAGGGTCAGGCAAAAGAGGAAGATCCTCAACGAGATGGATTGGCCAAGTGTTGCATCGATGGACTCAAGCATGGCAACAGTAATGAGATAGGCCCAGGATTAGGCAGTGTTTTGTTCTGCTGTGCATAGGGTTGCTATGAGTTGATACCTACTCGATGGCACCTAACAACAACAACTTGTCAAAAATCTACATGAAATAAACTGATGTATATGTAGAAAAGTTAGAATACTATAGGAAATGATAGAATAAAAATTGAAATCTTTCAAGAAAGTGAGGTGGCACAGGAGGCACTCACTCATCTTTGCCAAGAAACTTGGAAGACAACTATCTGGCAGGCTGATTGGAAGAGATCCATATTTGTGCCCATTCCAAATGGAATGCAGAAATCACTGGACAATATCTTTGATATCCTATATGAGTAAAGTTTTACTAAAGGTAATACAGAAACGGCTGCAAGCATACATTGACAGAGAACTTCCAGAGGTTCAAGCTGGACTCAAAAGAGGTTGTGGAACGAGGGATATCATTGCTGATGTCTGATGGATCTTGGTTTAAAGCAGAGACTATCAGAAAGATGTTTATCTGTGCTTTATTGACTATGCAAAGGCTTTCGATTTTGTGGATCATGACAAGCTATAGACAACACTGCAAAGTACAGTATTCTGGAACACTTAATTGTGCTTGAGGAATCTGTACATGGACCAAGAGGCAGTTGTTTGAACAGAACATGGGAACACTGAATGGTTTAAAATTAAGAAAGGTGTGCAACAGTGTTGTATTCTTTCACCATACTCATTCAACCTGTATAACGAGCAAATAATCAGAGAAGCTGAGTTACATGAAGAAAATTGTGGTATCAGGATTGGAGGAAGACTCATTAGCAACATGTGATACGCAGATGATACAACTTTGCTTGCTGAAAGTGAAGCAGACTTGAAATATTTACTGACGAAGATCAAAGAGCACAGCCTTTGGTATGGATTATATCTCAATGTAAAGAAAACAAAAAAGCCATAGTATTTTCAATAACCTCATATGCATGTGAAAGCTGGACAGTGAATAAAGAAGACCGTATAAGAACTGATGTTTTTGAGTTATGGTGTTGGAGGAGAATATTGAAAGTGCCATGGGCTGCCAAAGAACCAACAGATCTGTGTTGGAAGAAGTGCAACCAGAGTACTCCTTGGAGACCAGGATGGCCAAACTTGGGTCTTTCATACTTCAGACATATTGTCAGGAGGCCCCAGTTGCTGGCGAAGGATATGTTTGGTAAGGTGGAGGGTTAGAAAAAAGAGGAAGATTTCCAGCGAGATTCGTCTAGGATCAGGCAGTGTTTCATTCTGCTGTGCATAAGGTCGCTATGAGTCAGTACCGACTCGATGGCACCCAACAACAACATAAAGGAAGACTTGAACACAGGGAAAGGCATACTATATTCTTGTTTAAACCGATATAAAAGAATTCCATTCTCACTGCATTTGGTTATATGTTTACTATAATTTCATTAAAGCAAATGGATTATTCATTTTTGTAACTAGACACACTGATGTTAAATTTGTATGGAAAATTTAAAACAGCAAAAAAAGAAAATTAGATATTGACATATACTCAGAGTAGTCTTAAGGAGCTCTGGTAGCGTAGTGGTTACAGCTACTAACCTCAAGGTCAGCAGTTCAAAATTATCAGCGGTTCCGTAGGAGAAAGATGAAGCTTTATGCTTCTGTAAAGATTTACATCCTCGGAAACCCTGTACAGGGTCACTATGAGTTGGAACCGACTCCACAGCACACCACCACCAAAAGTAATTTTAATGTGGAGCTATAGGGTAAGCACTGGACTGCTAACCACAAGGTTGGCAGTTCAAACCCATCAGCTGTTTCTTGGAAACCCTATACAGGGTCACTGTGAGTTGGAACCAACTTCACAGCAATGAACAATAACAACAAAAGTTCTAATAAGTAAAATAGAATGGTCCAGTGAAAAATAAAAGGCTCAGGGAAGGCTCAAATGTAAATGTGACTTTGGCATAAAATAAAGTAATATTTCAGGTTAATGGGGAAAAGATTATTTTCTCAATAAAAGATGTCATAAAATAAAATGGTATTTCCAACCAATGGGGGAAAATCTTATTCAATAAAAGGCCAATTGTTATTTTCACAAAAAAGAAACTAAAGTTACTTTTCAAGTACATAATATATTCCAGATGGAATAAAAATGTAAGGGTATAAAATAAAACCTACAAGAAACCAACAGGTGGTGAAGACCATTCTAAATATGACACAAATAGCAAAGCCTTAAAAGCCAACTATATATATATTTGACTACAGAATATACAATTTTCAGCATTTCAAAAACTACCAGGACAAAGATAAATGACAAAAATGATGAATAAGAAAATACAATATTTACAGCTTTTCTTATAATGAGCTAATATTTAAAGTGTTCATATAATTTAAAAAAGGCAAACAATTTAATAGAAAATTTGAGAGGAAAAGGGAAGGTAAAGACAAAGGTAATTCTAGAGGCTGTTAAATATATAAAAATATTATTTCCTCATAAGAAAAATTTTGTTAATTAACTTTATTATAGGTTTTATCCATCAGGTTGATAAACACAAACATTTTTGATAAATACCACATTGGCAAGGATGTAAAGGCATGCACTGCTGGTGGAAGTATAAAGTGGTATTGTTTCTTTAGAGGTAATTGGGCAGTGCTTAGCATAACTTTTCTAAACATACTTGGAACTGATTAGAAGGCACACAACAACGTTAGTCACAGCCAGGATTAGGCAATTTGTCTGTGTCCCATTGTTGTTGTTAAGTGCCATCGAGTTGATTCCAACCCATAGTCACCCTGTATAGGGTTTCCAAGGAGCAGATGGTAAGCTTAACCACCGACCTTACAGTTCAAACAACACTGTAGTCTGACGCATTAGCTCACAGCACCATACCAGTACTCCTGTGTCCCATTAGATACTCACAAATAACATTGTAAGTCTCATATGTAATAATCCTGAAATCCTAAAACGTCTTATAATATTCAGCAAAACATGGCCTTATATTAGAGTATTTTCTTCCAACTTTCTAACAGTTTCATGAAGTTGCTAGAAATTGGTAAGAATGAAGTTTTAGTACTGGTCATTTTTCTAATACAGAATTTTTTAATTGTGTGACATTTTGTTTAAAAACATAATAAATTCCTTGACCATAACTACAGCTCAGTAATGTTAAAACTATAATATATTAAAAACATTATTGATGATATCACTTGACATACTAATAAGTAGCCCTAGAACAGTATTTCGTTACTTTTGTTTGGATTATTGTCAGTTTTTAAGCCACTGATTAATTGAACTTTCATATTTCCTTGGTTCTTTCAGCCAGTCCTGATGCCACCTAAGATTTGCTATAACATTTGAATAGTTTTGCCCTATACTTTGTTTCCAGTTAATAAATTGCTCTTTATTATATTGGTGGACAGAAGCAGAAACTTTAGGGTAGTTTATAATGGAACGAAGCTTCTGATCCAAAGAATAAGTGATGTTTGGGAATTTTGTAGCAATATTTGTTAGTTCGTCTGGATCCACGGAGAGATCTGAAAGAAAAGATACCTGTCAAAATAGTTATCTACTAAAAAACATTTTGTGAGACTTTCTCTGGAAACATCTATGACATATGATGTATCAGAGTTTTTATTTTCAGTTTCTCCTAATACAGTCATAAACAACAAAATAAACAGTACAATGATGTCCTGTATGCTAACTAACACTCCTCTACAGTTTGCCACAGTTATCTACCATCACCTTGCTACTGGTTTTGTTATACATTCTTAGATGGCAGAATAGTCAAACCCTTACTAGTAGCAAACTAACTTAGACCCAATTCTTTCTGTTTGTAATGTCTTGTCTACTTTGATATGCAGAGAAAAAAAATGTAGAAGTGCTCATATTATCCCATTTCAACAACCCAGACTTTCTGGATATAAGAATTCTTGCTATAGCTAAAACAAGTTCTTGTAACTTCACTTAGTCCTAGTTTTCTTTATATATCAGCATCTTGCTCTTAGATTATTTGAAAGTTATATTTATCAGTACAGTCCATTTGAACTAATAGCCATGGGGTTTGGGGGACAGACAGGGAGAGAAGGGCAGGGAACACACCATAACTTCTCTCAATCACTACCAGCAAGAAAGTATTACTAAATATTTCAGATACATGAACACCCATTTACTATTTCATGTGAAAACAGAATGTAATTAGGATGCCAATCTAACTGGCAAAAAGCAAATGAAAGATTTTCTGACTTAAGAAATGAACAATATGTGTTGAGGAAAACTTTTCCATGGGCCTATCTGAGTACATTACCCCATGAGGCATTGAAGGCACACCTGGTTTACTAGATGACTTCAGATGGCAGTAATTTGGGAGAAGGAAGTCAGTGATTAAACCCTAAAGAATGACGAAAAGGCTCCCTTGTGCACTGATCCTCTGGTATTTATACCAGCCTTTTGTAGAACACTGCCAATGAATGAGCAAGAGATGCCCATTACTCATTAGGATGAACATTTAAGGACTTTCTTTTAACGCTAAGTATTCCTGCTCTTAGAGTTACGTGGTTCAGTCAGATTGGCACCTAAAAAATTATTCTGAGTTAATGATTCTGACATTTGTAACTAGGAAGGAAATAAATATTAATAATGATTTTAACACATGTTAATTACAAAATGGGGCAAATCCAATAATGCTGATTAAAAATTAATTCATATAATAGTGGCACTGGTAGGTATTTTTTATAGTGTAGAACAGGCATGGGTTTTTGATTGAGTCAGACCTGGGTTGAAAGCCCAGTTTTACCATTTCTTAGGTTTGAGACCTTGCAGAAATAATGGAATTTCTCTAACCTCCCCAGTACCATGAAGATGATGATATAATATTATACGGTTGTATGTTGTTGTTAAGTGCCATAGAGTTGGTTCCGACTCACAGTGACCCTGTATAGGGTTTCCGAGGAGCAACTGGTGAGCTTGAACCGCCAACCTTGCAGTTCAAACGGCTTTGCAGCCTGACGCATTAACGCACAGAGCCACACCAGGACTCCATAAGGTTATAAAGAGGATTAAATACATACAGAAAATCTGTCTCCATAAAATAGGTGTTAATACTCTGGAGCAGCTGAAACCAAGAGACCCTGACTGCTGATTGGAAAAGATACTCATGAGTATTAAAAGACGCCTCATCAGAGAAATCAGCGGTTTCCATCACAAGATCTAAATCAAATGCCTTAAGGACACCTGCTCTGAAATTCTGTGCGGATTTTCAAAGAAGCTGTTCCTCACAGGGGCAATCTTATGTAAATTACCTCAGCTTGAGAAGCCGCAGGTACTCATTTATTTAATGATTTTTAGATCTTGAGCAAGGCTGTGTAATATTACACTTGAAAAAATGTATCAAAAAATTTACCAAAGAGTTGAGGCAACACGGAAGCACCATCAGAGTAGGCTATATATTTCCACTGATTAGTTCGAAGCATGTAGGTAGACGCATTGACATTACATCCATGGAATTCACTCAGGATCCAGGATGGACGTACGTAAGTGAAATTGTGTTCATTCTTAAATGTTTCTGATGATAATGGCAACAAAGAGTATCCACTCAAGTTCTGAGGCAGAGAAATTCCAGCAATATCTATGTAACAACAACAGTGAAAAAACAACAACCAGTAACTCATTTTTATCAGCTGAGCATTTATAAATGGCCTCATTTACATTTTTTCATGTCGTCAATGGTCATGGAGAACAGACTGCCTGGATGCAAATGCTTATTCCACTATCAATGTGACCCTGGACACATACCCTCTCAGAACTCCAGTTTCCTCATTTATAAAAGTGGGATAAAAATAGTACCTATATCGTCTGTGGAAGTTGGACAAAGATAAGGAAGACTGGAGCAGAATTGATGGTTTGAATTACAATGTTGGTGAATAATACTGAAAGGACCATGGACTGCCAAAAGAACAAACCAATCTGTGTTGTCAGAAGTACAGCCAGAATGTTCCTTAACATTAGTCTTTCAAACTTTGGACATGTTATCAAGAGGGACCAGTCTCTGGAGAAGGACATCATGTTTGGTAAAGTGGAGGGTCAGCGAAAAAGAGGAAGAGCCCCAATGAGATGGACTGGCACAGTGGCAGCAGCAATGGGCTCAAGTGTAATCACAATTGTGAAGCTAGCACAGGAGCGGGCAGTGTTTCGTTCTGTTGTGCATAGAGTCACTATGACTCAGAACTGACTCCTAACAACAACAACAACTTAAAGGTTTGTTTTAAGTTTAAATAAGTAATTCAAATAGGATGAGAAGTGAATCTAAAACAGAGAAAACCCTCAACAAATATTAGTTAATATAATTCATCCTTTTTTCCTTTGATGATTAAATCGGTTGTTTCTCAGTATGTTCAATGGGATATTAATACAACCTTTATGAGAAAGGAATTTAATAATAATCTGTTTGCAAAACAATGGTTAAACAAAACTAAACAGGTATTTGTTGTAGATGCAAATTTATTTCTGATATATATTGTAAGTCTTTATAATAAGAGGCTTATGATAAAGAGTTGTTTAGTGCCGTTGGATTGGTTCCAACTCATAGTGACTCTGCGTAGGGTTTCCAAGGAGCTGCTGGTGAGTGTGAACCACCTACTTTGCAGTTCAAACCAATCTTGAGGTCCAGTGCTTATCCTACAGTGACACACCAGGACTCGTATGTAGTTATCACATACCCCTTCCCCACCCAAAGATGATAAAAAAACCTATGGTCTTCAGTATGGACTGCACCTCAATGTAAAACAAACAAACAAACCCAAATTCTCACAACTGGATCATCATGGTATCTTCATGATAAATGGAGAAAAATAAAGTTGTCAAAGATTTTGATTTATTTGGATCCACAATCAATACTCATGGAAGCAGCAATCAAAAATTCAAATGACAAATTGCATTAAGCAAATCGGCTGAAAAAGGCCTCTTTAAAGTGTTAAAGAACAAAGATGTCACTTTGAGGAATATGGTGTGCCTGATCCAAGCCTTGGTGTTTTCAGTTACCTCATATGCATGCAAAAGCTGGACAAAAAATAAGGAAGATCAGAGAAGAAACCAAGAAGTTGAATTATGGTGTTGGGGAAGAATATTGAAAGTACAATGGACTGTCAAAAGAACAAACTAATCTGTCTTGGAAGGAGTGTGGCCAGATGTTCTTGAGTAGCGAGGCTGGCAAGACTTCCTGTCACATACTTATGACATGTTATCGGGAGGGTCTAGTCCCTGGAAAAGGACATCATGCTTGCCAAAATACAGGGTTATAGAAAAAGAGTTAGACTCCCATCAAAATGGCACTGACACAGTGACAGCAACAATGTGCTAAAACATGACAACAATTTTGAGAATGGTGCAGGACTGGGCAGTGCTTTGTTCTGTTGTGCATAGGGATACTAGGAGTTAGAATGGACTCAACAACACTCAACAACAACAAAGGAGCATCTTGAGAGACTAGTGTTTTGCTGAATGTGTCTTCAGAAATCCTGGATTATACTGACATAAGGAAAACTAATTTTTTCTTATCAATGAGAAATGTCCAACTTAAACACTAGTTGTATTTTTAAAAGTTGCTTTTAAGCTATCTATTTGGAAGTCAAACCCCATTTTTCCTAAATAAAACTTAGCATTAGTTAGGGCTTCTGGTTATTAAGTGCTGTCAGGTAAATTCCAACTCATAGTGAGTCCTGATAGCCTAGCAGGTTATGCATTGGGCTGTTAATTGCAAAGTCAGCAGTTTGAATATACCAGCTACTCTGTGGGAGAAAGATGAGGCTTTCTGCTCCTGTAAAGATTTACAGCCTCAAATCCTATACAGGGTCGCTATGAGTTGGAACTGACAAAATGGCATACCACCACAACCATAAGGTTCCTGAGGAGTGGCTGGTGGGTTTGAACCACTGATCTTATGGTTATCAGTTCAGTGCTTATCCTACAGCACCACACAGGTGTCTCCCTAGCCCCTTTTCTGGTTTCAATGCTTCATGCTTTAATGTATAATGAAATATTTCTGATAAAAAAATAGAAAGCAGTATCTGTAATGCTAGAAATTGAATTGAATATTAAAACCGTCACGTATTTGAGGAAAAAAACAAAGGAAAATAAGTAGATAAAGATCTCTGTAAACTTTCTAAAGGAACTTGTTGGACATCTAATTTATTTAAAAACTTATATCTTACATTTTCCTTGAAAGAGACATATTCTTCAAAGTATTAATCTTCTGGTCGCCAATTATAATTGGAGACTGTGGATTCACAAATACTGGAAGAAATAAGGTATGATTCAGAGAAACTCATTAAAACAGACAAGACAGAGCTAGGGAGAAGGATGAGTATGAGAAAAAGGGGTTTCCCAGGATGAAATTAATTGAGCAACAAGCAATGAGCCGTCAAGTGGGCATGGAAGGCACAGGACAGCAGATGCTAAGGTCGACTCTGAGACGAGCACAGAAAGCAGGGAGGCAAGAGGCTGTGTCAGGCAGATCTGCGTGTCAGCCAGCAGGTGGTACAGCTAGCAAGGAACAAAGGGAGAGAAGATGTCACTGTGGATGATTGGGAAATGGACCAACTGGCATATATTGGTGATTACGGGGAGTTCTTGCCTTCAGCATTACAGTTAAATTTAATACTTAGAAACATCTTATTTCAGATCTACTCTTAGCCTAATTTCCTAGGGAAGCTTGGAAGACTATGACAATTTACATGATTCTCATTTGACTATACGAGACATCAGTAGGAGACTGGAATAGGTATCCATTCAGTATTTTTTAACTTATTCATTTAACAAATCAGGGACTGTGCTACGTGTAAGGAAACAGCAGTGGGGAAAGCATACAATGTCTGCTTTACTACAGCATATGTTCTAACGTGGGGAGACAGACAGATGGTGAGATGGACAAGTGCAATGAAAAAGCACATAGCAGGCTAACTAAGGAGCATAGAGTACTGGTGGTTATGTGTACTTGTGCCAGTTTATAAAGTAGGCTGAGGGACGAGTTCTCTGATAAAGTAACATCTGAACACAGACACAAAGGAAGGGCTAGAATGAGTCCTACAGATAGCTGGGGAAAAGCACTCTTCAGGGAACAAGTGTAAAGTTCCTGAGGCAGGAACACTAAGGAGACCTGTATAGTTGGAGCAGTAAGTAAGTGAGGGATAAAAATTTTAAAGGTGAGTTATGGTGGGGAAGAGATTGTCTTGAACTCCCAGGCCTGGTTTAAGACTTTGGATTTTATTCTAAGTGAAACAAAAGGACTGTGACAATGTCTGGCAGTATGTCTGGCAGACATAACCTGCAAGATTCCTAATATAGAACAATTTAAATGTAAAACAGTAAACAAATGGGTTAAAATGCATACCTGGTCTTATGGATTACACTGTGTCCCACAGAAATACATGTTACCGTAACTCCTAACATATGCCTGTGGTGAGGAGCCCTGGTGGTACAGTGGTTAAACACCTAGCTGCTAACTGAGAGGCTGGAGGCTAAGACCCACCAGCCACTCTGTGGGAGAAAGACCAGGAGCTCTGTTTCTGTAAAGATTTACAACCTTGGAAACCTTATGGGGCAGTTCTGCTCTATCCTACGGTGTTCGTATGAGTTGGAATCAATAGTATGACAATGGGATTGATTGTTTTTTGGCAGACTCCTGGTGTGGCGCTGTAGGATAAGCACTCGACTGCTAACCAAAAGGTTGGCGGTTCAAACCCATCAGTTGCTCCTTGGAAACCCTATACAGGGTTGCTATGAGTTGGAACTGACTCAACTACATTTAACAACATATCTTAATATGAGACCTGGCATGGTGCTGAAGGATAATGCACTGGACCGAAAGGTTGGTTTGAACTGAAAGGTTGGCAGTTCAACTCCACCAGCCACGCCTCTGAAACCCTAGACAGGATGGCTATGAGTCAAGACTGACACAATGACACTAAACAACAGCAACATATCTTAGAAGAGATTGACTCAAAACACACCCTACACTAATCCTATTTCATTAACATAACAGACAGTGCATTCCCAAATGGGATTATAACCTTAGGTATGTTGCTGTTTGCTCTTAACTGCTGTATAGTCTGTTTTGACTCAGCAAGCCTGTGTAGGGTTTCCAAGGAGCAGCTGGTAAGTTTGAACAGCCAATCTTGTCAAACTGACCTGTGTCTAGTGCTTATCCTATAATGCCACACGAGGAGTCCTTTTAAGGTGGTGGTGGTTATGTGCCGTGGTTGGTTCCGACTCATAGTGACCCTACATAGAGTTTCCGAGGCTGTAAATCTTCTCGGGAGCAGAAAGCCTCATCTTTCTCCTGCAGAACCACTGGTAGTTTTGAAGTTTTGAACTGCTGCCTTTAGATTAGCAGCCCAATTCGTAACCATTATGCTACCAGCTGCCTTCTTTTAATATATTGTTGTTGTTGTTAGGTGCCGTTGAGTCAGTTCTGACCCATATTGACCCTGTATAGGGTTTCCAAGGAGCGACTGGTGAGCTTGAACACCGACCTTGTAGTTCAAACGGCTTTGCAGTCTGGCACATTAACCCACAGCGCCACACCTGGACTCTCTTTTAATATATAAAGAAGATTAAAACAAGCAAGTCTGC